GTCGGCCAGGACGTTGACGACGCGGTCCTCCTGCGGCAGGTACAGGGCGCACATGCCGGCGGACAGGCCGCGCACCACGCCCGACTGCCCCGCCAGCGCGTCGTCCTCCGCCGCCGCGCGGACGCGTACCTGCGACCCCGTTGCGATTATACACTTATTTCCAACAAAAATTACAATCCCAAATACAAACGTGACATGCTAGGTTACCTCGACTTCCGTGGTGTGCCAGTCGGGCGCTGCAGTATCAGCAGCTGCATAAGGCGAGCGAGGGGAGTATCCGCCTGGAGACGGGGTCGCTGGGTACCCGGCAGTGTAACCCGCCGGCGACGGGCTCGGCCGGTACGGAGAGTACGTGTGGTCCGACCCGTACATGGTGCCCGGAGTCTGCGGGGTGAAGGGTCCAGCCGCGTATGCTGCGTCTCCGTCGTCCAGCGCGCCGTACTCGAAGTCTGGCGCGCGCGCCGGCGTGTTGGCTGCCGTGGGGTCCCACGCGCCGTGCGCGGGGGTGCGCCCGCCCTCGTGCGAGGGAGTGGCCGACCCATAATGCGGGGTACGGCCGCCCACGTCGTATATAGGTGTAGCCGAACCGTGCATGGGGGTCTTGATGCCAGTGTCGCGGTACGTGGGGGTCTGCGCGCCCAGAGTCGGGGTGCGCGCGGGGGTACGCGTGTAGAAGGAGGCCCCGCCCCGCGCTGCGCCCGCGCCGGCGCCCGCGATGTGAGATCGGTCCACGGAGATAGTCTGGCACGCGGAGTGCAGCTCCACACGAGCCGTGCTGCCCGTGGCATCCTTGACGATGCCGACGTTGCCCTTGTAGGGTCCGCCAGTGATCTTGATGGTCTGTCCGATGAGCTCCCGGTCGCGTGTGACGCCGCCCCCGCGCCCCCCACGGCCCCGACCCCGCGGTGTCATCCCGCCGCGGCCCGAAGGATGCATCGGCGACTGAATTCTTGGCGACATGAATCCCAAAGATAGACCGGCAGATACATTAGAATTCTTGTTACCACCCGCTAACTGTAAATGTCGCGTCTTACATACGAATATACCACCGTTGTCGAGGTACATGCGAGATTGCAAAAACGCGAAATTCCTATAAAGATGTTTGATTTCACCATTACGCCCAGCGTGAGGTCCATCGATAACTTTTACGATGTCGCGTTTCTGGATAGTGTTTCCTTCAGAATCTAACGCCATAGTGAATCTGCTCTCGCGCCGTTTCTGCAAAGCTTGTGGCTTACATTCAATGACTTTACCCTGCATGCCTAGCACATGGAAGTTTTCCTTTTCGAGACGAACAATCACGCCGACTGTTTGAGGATCTAGTTGGACCATATCACCCCATTGGAATTGTCCGAGTGAGTCCACACCGGTAGCCATGTCAGAGCACAGTTGTAAATCTCTTGGCAATACTTCAAGTTCATGCATAGTCAGATCTGACACTAGAACAACACGATGAGGCTCCACGCGCACGATCAAACCCGTGTCACCCTCATATCGTCCTGCTAACACCTTCACATGGTCACCTTGCTTGAAATACTTCCGCAACTCATTTGGTTTGAACACCAGAGGATCTTTCAGTGCATCGTGCTTTGGCATCACTGTTATCATAGACCCATCTATGGCTATAATTCTAGCCTGCAAGTTGGCCAGGTCACCAGAGCACACTTCTACATTGTCACCCATAGAAAATGAATGTAAGCTAGTTGGGTCATCTTTGGCAGGTGCTGCTAATTCTATATCAATGCCCTCTGGTTGTTCTTCAAACCTTTCTAATTCAGTCAAAGTAGGTTTAACACCCTCAGCTAAAATGGCTGACATTGTGAAATTTTTGTATAAAAATCCTTTTCTGGAGTATCTGTTTCCTTCGAAAATTAAAAAGTCACCATCAGATGTGACTTCTCCTCCAATAGCTCTGATAGCTTCAGGATCGAAAGGTTTTGCAGCTGGACGTCTTTTCTTTTTCCTCTTAGCTGCCTCACTTTCACTCTGAACAGTTCTCAGAGCTCCTCGGAGTCTTGTATAGTCTATTCTAGGTAATAATTTTAGATGAACTTGATTTTGAGCTAGGTCTACATAGTCCACTTGTGCAATATCATCTTTGTATAACCCTCTTTTAAGTCTCACCCATTGCTTTGGTTTCAAACCAGATTGTTCCTTAACTACTCTCAAGACATCTGTCATTTCTTTAATTGGCACCATGTCTTGCTTCCAAATACCCATTCTCAATGTACCTACATTGTTTATAATGTTTTTGACATGAGTTTGTTTGTAAGCTTCAATGTAGATGTAACCTTTTACACCTTCCGGAGCCACAACAGATTTGATCTGGAATGGTTCTTCAGAAAACTGGTAGGCAATGAATTTTCTCATAAGAAGAAGGACAGTAGCCTTCTCTTCACCTATTCTGCACTTGACCATCCATAAGTTGGGGTCTTTAATCCCTGGTAAGAGAGTCTGTTGTGTGATTTCATCAGACATTTCCTCACCACCTTCTCCAAAATGTCTAAGTGCTGCTGATTCATCAGCATATTTGTTTCTTAGATATTCTTCAATCTCTTCCTCTTTCTGTGAATCCCATAAATTGGTTCCTCTGCGTCTACCCTCAATTTCACGGGCTGTAGGACCAATTTCATCCACTTCATTTCCAACAATACCCATTTCCTGGGCACCTTCTTCCCATTCATCATCTTCATCAACTTCATCATCCACCTGTAGCAAGTAAAGTTAACAATTATGTAGGTATTTACAAACAAAATGGAAATCTAAATCCACAAGTAAATGTTTATGCTCTGAAAATGTTACCTCAGCCTCATCAATAATGAATCCTCCATAGCGGCTGTCCTTCTTACGTTTCTTTCTCAGTCTTTCTTCTTCCTCGTCTTCTTCATATTCCTCAGAGTCCACTAAGTCCTCACCCTCTGGCTCTTGTTCATCCTGTAAATTTCGACATAAAACATCAAAATAATGTAATAATCTTAAATGAAAGTTAAACATTTTACTGCAGCCTCTACCTGGGACAGGAGAAGGAATCGTGAAACCAAGATATTATTAGACCACTAAATAATGTTCTATACAATAGCCCTTTTAAGTGGTTTTTTAATAAATCATTACAAATTATTACTATTATTTGGTAACATCATGTCAACATCAGCTAATCCATCTATCTATGATTTTGTTACCAAAATTTAAATATGAGAATTTAGCCATGGTAATTTAATATTAACATGATCCATTTGAAATATATTAATAATTTTAAGTACTTCATAAACTCAAATAGTGTAAACAAACATCCTGTCACATTTTATTGTGGATATGAATTGTGGAAGCATGATGGTTTGGCTCCACTGAATATATTAAGAAAATTCAAACATAGCCAGAACTTATTCATATTCTAAGATCAAATAAATACTCTATTGTGGTACCAAACCAAACACATCTTTTTTTATTATTTGAACTAAAAGTTTAGAAGCATTATTTGTCATTGCCAGTGAGCACCATGTTTGATACAATAAAGGATTTGAAATTTTATGAAGAGGAATCAATACTCTTGTTTATTCTCTTTTTTACAACTTGCTTTCTGCTTCATTCTCGCATATTATTTATGGAACTTGTAAAACATATTTTTAAAAGAGTAATCATGGTGTTTCTTGTTCATTCTTCTTCATTTGCACCTAGGCTGGGAAAAAGCACCTAGCTTCACTGATGAAGAGACTATTGGAATATTATTCTATTTTGGTTGTTTAAATTAACCTGAGTAGATTTTAGTTAGGTGGAATGTTTATTTTACTTTTTATTTCATGAGCTGTTTCTTTGCTACATGCTCTTTTCACTTATCCTAATAAATGTTGAAGAGCCCTTTTGAATCAGACAGAACACTTGTACTACTTACTACTTGAGAACTTATGACATGTTGTAAATTTATGTACAATTGATTGCTTGATATAGCATAATATTGACGCCGGGAGAACAATATGCCAAACTATACCTCAACTTCTTCATCACCAGATGCTTCTTTAGCCTCATCATCTCTGTTGCGACTGGCATCTGATCCTGCAGAATGACTTCTGGAATAAGAATTTATGTGTTTAATCATGGACAACTCTACAAATTTTCTATTTATCATAAAGATGTATCTAATGAATGTAAGCTTTGTAGTAACTATTTTAATTTTATTTGCTCATTGAGTATACACAATGTTAGAATTATCACAATATAAATAAGTAATTAGATACAAGTAAATGGAATGTTGTACGATTTCAACGACAAATTTGGGTAACAAATAAACCCAATTACAGGTTAGTTTCTGTGAACTAAAAGACCAGAGTACCAGTTTGTCAATGACGAGAAGGTTGAAAAGAAATACAATGTGCGATATTAATTAGTTTGGACCAAATTCTAGTAGGATCAGCATGCGGTGATCTTTTGAGGTTCTAAACTGTTGTCAAACTGACCTTATCAGTTTGCAAACATGATTTGGTTGGTTGCATTTGGTTTTTGTGCGGGTAAGAAATGAACCTTACCTGGAACGAGACCGTGAACGTGACTTGGATCTGGAGCGAGATCTAGATGGACTCCTCGATACGCTGCGGCTGCCAGATCTGGACCGGGAGCCCGAACGGGAGCGGACTGAACGATTAGACGCGGCACTCCGTCGCGATCGACGTGATGCTACACTACCTGCCTCAGAACCACTTCCTGAGTAATTACTGCCTTCCGAATCAGACATCCTTATTTTTTATGGGGCTAAAATCAATTATATTTAGCCATTCAAAATTATTAAAGAAAACACCATAGGTACGTAGCAAAACGTCACATCGATTTAGTATTGCCAGTGGCGTATCCACAATTCATACCTATGATACCACAGTAAAAAATTGACACTGTGATTTGATTTTAAAGATTTCTGAAATATATTGTTTTATAACTCGACTATTTTCAGACGGAAAGTATCTAAGGATTTGGATTCATCTCTATATCATCTATGGCTTGACTGGTTTTCTAAAAAAATAAGTTTGTCTATTGATTCGTCGTTTGCCCCACCGACAAGTGAGACTTTTCACTAAATTAATCGTTAATTTAAGACAAACTGAGTGAAAATCCTACCAGAAATACAATATTTTATAAAGAATACTTCTTTGTATATTGTTTTGATTGAATAATGAATATTTGGAAGACATAAGCAATTGAATAGTGCGAAGCTCCTTTGGTGTCTCTTTGGCTTTCGGACAATTTTCGCACGTCCTACAATAAACAATCATTAGGTTTTGTGGTGGTACTGCATCGTGAATCGATCGGTTTGGTCTCGTTTTGCGGAAGTGCAGTGAATGTGGTGCAGTGCAGTGATCTCGGTGCTGGTCGCAATGTATCAGTGAAGGCGGCTGCGGTGACCGACCGGATCTGTAGCTGGGGGTGTCATGCTGGAGACGCGGTCGGCGCGCGCCGCAGACTCGGTGTGGGCGAACAAGCCGCTGCCGGCGCCGCACGCCATGGCCAACACGAGGCACGGGAAAAACGCACAGGTATACCTTCACTTTACACCCACTGCCGACCGTAGCCATCAGCTGCACTACTATTCTAATTTGGCACTTCCTGTTTGGTGCTCTATTAACAAAAGAGGACATCAGAGGACTTTGTCAGAGGAATGCACTGCCAGAGGTACTACTCCTTCAACTGGGTTCTCCAAAAGTGCAATAGCTTGACTATATACTTAACTAGTTGTTTAAGTAGAATGCAAATCTGATTGGCCCTGAGTGCTAGCAATTAGGCAACAGTTGTTTTAAATTAATTGTTGTGGAATTTGATGAGCTCAAGTAGATAATTTAAAATTTTTTTGCTCATAGTTGTGTGTCTGCTATGAATAATGCATTCATGTTTCTAACACTTTCACTATTTTTTAATCCATGTTTAGATAATGTGGAGAATACATATTTCATGCTTGTTATTTATGATATATAATTAGATGTAGGAAATAATTGGATAATGCAACAAAATATAATTTTATAGTCAGAATGCTATCTGGGTAAACAAAATGATAATAAAAATACCTACCTATATTATTTATTGTTTTGTATGTTATAAACAAACAACTATTTGCACTTTTGTGTTAGTTTTCAAAGCATGTTGATAGAACCAATGTAGAATTTAAATCCCTAAAAATAGCTCAACAACTAAAAAAGTAGTCCTTTATAATACCAAGAATCTTTTAAGTATGGATCTAGTTCCATACTTAAAAGTTTACAATTATTAACTCCTTCAATTTTATGTGCAGCTTGCAAGTAAAATGAACCCCTCTATCATACACATTCTAGTGTTAGTATCTTATAAGAACTTAGTTCATGGATTAGTTGTTATTAGAAACCCTCAAAGGTAATAAGGATCATTTTTCTGGTCTCAACATCATTAAAAAAATGTTTTTAAACTATCTATCACAGGTATATAATACTGAGTTTACTCCCAGTTAATAAGTAATATTTAAATACCTTGTTGCCTATAATTACTATTCGACAGTGGCAATCGTAATTTACCATCATGTTTTATACAATTTTATAGTACTTTTTCATGATGAACAATCTAAAATTTATTGGTATTTGACACTATGAGTTTCTATAATAGACTTTATTTTAAATTTATCTTTGTAAGTAAATAGTTTTAGTTATGGAGTATGCACATAAAGGAGTATTGCACTCTTCTGCTCAATCTTGTTATAACCAGGCACATTGTTATTGTGTCAATGAAACAAATGATCACACAGTGAATGATATTGTTTTTTAACTTTCCTTAAACAATTATCCTGCTTGAAACATAAATATTTTCGATGAATGAAACACCTGCAGGATATTTTATATTATAGTAATTTATGATATTGGTAATCTAACTTTCTTCAAATTATGTAATCTAAAAATAAAATACCATTCACTTTATATAAGAAGACTTTCAAATACTTATTTGAATGTGGCTAATTAATTATTTGTTATTCAGATCAAGCAGTAATCATATCAATAATTCCATCTAATTATAAGCTAGACTGTTGACCTAAAAACTATTAGATTAGACGGCAATCAAAAATACTTCCAAATATGGCAAAGTTCATTGAACTCAATGGTTATGTCACATTGAACCTTAATTACAAGAAATGTGATTAAGAACAAAGCATGTTTGAGCACACAGTGACGCAGACAAACAAACATTTAATTGTCATTATGTATTTTATGAGAAATTTCCCTCAACATAAAGTCAATCTTTAGGTGGTTTTGTGCAACTTGCTCTAGTTAACTAATACAATTTATCCTGAATTGTGGTTATTGACGCTCGTGATTTATGTCATGTATTCTATTATTATAAGTATTATGATTCTTTACATAGGGACCACTTAGTTCTTTGGGATTCCTTGAAATAAACAAATTCATGTGTAGGCTGTTAGACAAGCTTACCTCTAATGGTTATTTAAGAATATTTGAGTTTTTAATAGAAGAATTAATGATTGTGCTTAATAGATTTATTTTTGTATATTTCATGTAGGTAGATTCTATTGTGTCTTACATACCAACATTCAACCGTTTAAAAACTGTAATAGTTACTGCTTTGCGCCACTTGTTGTCTTATAAAAAGTAAGTTCTATACACAAATACTCTATTTTTTACTATTTCTTTAGAGTATTGGTTTGAGACTGGTTGGAATAGTTTTAGTACATAACTGGGCTTATAGGCTTTGGCTTGATCTCCAAGTTTGTCTAGAAATAAATGTATCAATGTATGTGAATCATGTGAATGGATTTGGTATGTAGATAGGTGACACATTGGATCAACATGAAGGCTACTTTTTATCTAACTACCACCCGGACAAAGCCTAAGCAGAAGCTAGTGTCCATTACAATGAACTACCATAAGTCAGGTAGAATATGGTGTGGTGTTGCCCATCCACATCTTGCAACAGGATCTATCTGCGTTGCGTCAATGGTGAGGTGCCTTCCGAGAGCTTATGAGCGTACTTGGCGAACTGGCTATGGTCTATTGCGACCTTGTCCGTTAAATCGTTTAGGAGATAATGTTGACAAGCCAAATGTATTGTTTATGCTTCATCATAAGACCCGATTATTTACTACAACACATTAAAGTGACGTCAACGTTTGCTAAATTCCAGAGCAACTATGAGCTAATCTGTTTAACATAAATACGCCCACATCATTTTTATCAGCGGTTCTATTACAGATGGGCTTTTCCCTCTTTTACACCTAGCCATATCGCAGATGATTTTTGTCTCAATACGGCTGTTTTATAAGTTTTTCTTGGCAATTCTTTCAGCACAAAGTAGTGAACAACGGGAGATATTAAACTTATTTTCTTATAACTCTCATAAAATACTGTCGTTAGTCGAGTGGCCACGAAAGCAAAGCATGAAGCATGAGCGAAGCATGGAGTCTGGAACTGTACTGCATTGGCTCGCCCATTTTAGAATTTAGATTTTATGTCTCTGAAGTGAGTTTCAATTGTAATGCACGCCGATGATTAAATATATAATGTTTTGTAATTACCGTCCAAATTTACACCCCAAAATTAATCATCTGCCTTTAACTTAATGCCGACTGCTGTTTTATTACATACATGTGCAGTATTTTATCTTTTGTATCCGATTTACTATAGTTATAATCCCTCCCTTGCTTTCTACACCACGTTCAGTTAACCGCGCGGAACAGTTCGACCTTGGCAGTGTCTTTATGTCGTAAATATGGTTTTCGTAATTGTAATGTTACGACCGCCCCTACTGATATAGTGCCATTGATAACACAGGTATAGTTGCCACAATTTACTTAAGCTTAACGGAATGGATTCAGAAGTAAATGTCCATTTCCGACGAGCCTTCTATTCCAGAGTCTTCGAACAGTCAAAAATGCTTCTCAAGTGTCGTGTTTGCATTTGCAAACATACTAATCCACATACACATCATCATACCCGCATACCAAACAACAGTTTGTGAATGAAACAGTTGATCCGTCTGGGAATCCAACCCGCGCGGTACGTTTTGTAACGGTCAGCTACTACACTAGCTGTGCGCCGTGCAGTCAACTTGCAGTGTTCAATTAATTATCTATACTTCTATACTAATATTATAAAGAGGTAAGTTTGTATGTAGGAGGTAATCTTTGGAACCGCTAATCGGATTGCAAAAATTCTTTCACTGATAGATAGCTACAATGTTACTCTATAGGCTAGTATAAAACATCACGCTACCATCAAATGGAGCCGAGCAGCGGGGAAATCGCGCGAGAGTAGCTAGTTCATGTATATTTTGGGAATGGCTTGTTTCTGTGCTGTGAACTAACCACTCAACTTACTTCATCTCGTTTTCAGGACGATGTTTGCTACGTGGTCGCCAAGTACGACTATGCAGCCCAGGGCGCTCAGGAGCTGGACCTGCGTAAGAATGAGCGGTATCTACTGCTGGACGACTCCAAGCACTGGTGGCGAGTGCAGAACGCACGCAGTCAGTCAGGATACGTGCCCAGCAACTACGTCAAGAAGGAAAAACCTTCACTCTTTGACAGGTGAGGCAGTGCATTCAGAACACTGTTCAGACTTTTTCATAAATAGGTTCTTGTTATAGAAACAACTGAACGGATTCAACAGTCATGTTTGGTATTATAGCAACCAAAAATAATATTAGTGCTTACGTGTAGCATAAAAGTATTATTGGAATTGCGGAAGTATTTATGTGTCATATACCTTAGTTATGTTTACATATTAATATCGATAACGTAAAACCGACTTTTCAAGAAAGCAACCAATTCTTGGTACAAATACTGTTTGTTATAGGAAGTCTCTTAAAACATGGAAAGTATCAATTTGTGCGTTCATCTCATTATCAGTTTGATTTGCATTGAAGAGAGTTTTTACAAATGGCTTACATTTTGATTTCCGGCGTAAGATTTATTGAAACAATTGAAATTGCAAAATATGAGTACTTAAATTAGGTCGGTATGTAGTTTGAAACTACCCAACGAAGATAGGCGGCTCGAAACGTTACCTATATTTCAAAATCACCGATAATGATTTTAATGTTAACGTTATCGGGTGTTTAGTAACCAAAATATGTCTGCAGTAATGTAAACATTGTCTGAGCTAATGTTAGATAGTAATGTTGACAGTTAATACATAATTATGGGATCTGTAAGTATGAGTCAACAGAATTTTATGTAATCTATGATCCTTTGGTTCATTATTTACGTAATTTATGAATATCAGTAGAAAAAACCCGAATTCGTTAGTTCTTATACCAGATCAAAAGACGCAATGCGGTCTTTTTATACGAGACTCGCTACTTTGGCGCTGTTTCACCCGCTGCTCGGCTCCTACAGATCGTAGCAAGATGTTATACATATGTGATGTTGTATAGCCTAGCCTTCCTCGATAAATGGACTAAAAAACACAAAAAAGTTTGTTAAATTCGAACCATTAGTTCCGGTGATAAGCGCGTTCAAACAAACTCTACAGCTTTATAATATTAGTATAATATAGAGTGGCAAACGCGCAGACGGATCACCTGGTGATAAGCATTAGACGCTTCCAATGATACCTAAAATATCGAGGAGTTACCATTTGGTGATTGGGGAGGGGAGGAAGATTGGGCTTGGGGTAACCTCGCTCACGCCGTGAAACAACGCAATCGTGATTTTACGCTGGTATTCTGTGAGGCAAAGGGTTACCATTACCAAGCTTAGAATGAATATACATTGAACTTTATTCTGGACTTTCAAAAGAAGTAAAGAATTTGGAGCATGTTATTCCTCTGCATCATTTGCATGTCCTTGTTATGGCTTTTACAATCGAAGACAAACTCATTTGACCTCTATCGCAATAGGACTAGAAATGTACGGTCGCAAAATTATATGTCCACGGTCAGTTTGAAATGGGTCAACAAATGTGTTCAAAACAATTGGCAATTCAATTATATTTTCAAATGCCAAAGAGTAATATGAACCTACTTATAATAGTTTTATATTGATTACCAAGTTTTGAATTTGCTTGCTTTTGTTCTGTCGTGTGATCCTTCACCTTTCTTCAACCCCCAAATTGATAGCAATGCACTTGTAACTCCTCTCCTGTTGCGGGTGTCCATGGGCGGCGCCGATTGCTTACCATTAGGTCATCCGTGTGCTCGTGTGTCGCCTTATACCACAAGAAAACCGCAGATGTAAGCATTGTACCCGGTTGATCGGTTATTTGAAACAAGGTCAGGGAGCTATTTATTTATTTATTAGCTGGCGTTATAGAAGTAGTTACGTTTAAAAAACACTTCCTACTTAGGTTTTTTCTGTTTAATTAAAACTTAAGGATTTTCTCCTGTGTTGTAGGAACGTTTACAAACGTACAATTTCACAAACACATTACGCCCAGACCCGAAACAACGCTTTGTGTGTCACACAAAGTGTTGTTCCTTGCGGGAATCGAACCCGCGACACGTTGCACAGCAGCCAGTTGCCCAACCACCGCGCTAACGATGCTGTCAAACGCCTACGGTCGCGCGGTTTCACCCGCTGCTCGGTTCCTTTTAGACGTAGGGTGATGTTTTATTTTTATACCTATAGCAATGACGAACATTGTAGCTATCTGTCAGTGAAAGAATTTTGGAAATCTATTGGTTCCAAAGACTACCCCTACATACTTACAAACTCATAAATTTTACCTCTTTATAATATTAGTATAAATGACGATAATGTTAACAAAATTAAATATCGAATTAAAGAAATGATTCTAATGAACATTCCCAAGTTACAGTAAATTAATCATCTCTGAATTTTGATTGTTTATGTGAAATAAGGTTAATCTTTGATGTAGTTTGTTTACGCCGTAAAATATCGAACTGAAATAATATATGCATGCCTAAAACAAACATTCATGATCTTGAGTTTATCTATGTGTTACAAAGGTGACATTGATGCTATCAACTATCAGGTTTAGTATGCACCAAAATGCTCAAATACTCAGCTGTGCTTGTTGTGTGCTTATAAACGATATCGTATGTCAAATAATTTAGATATTAAATGCGTATAAGTGAAGGGTTTAGCAATATCTCGTTGCGAAGTTTCTTCCTAGGAATTAATCTAGTAGCCTGCGTACCCATCTTTTTCGAGTCGGTAGAATAAGTTTAGTGATGCAAGTCATGTTGCTATTTCTACTTAATATAAAACTTTTTACTAAGAATGTAGTTCTCTAGTAATTGAATACTTTAATAATGAGCCATCCCAGATTTTGATAGACGTTTCCTTATAACAACAAGTATCCTATATGAACATATACCTGTTTGTAGCACACGACTTCAGGTACGCTCATGTTATTGTTCTACTCAAATGGTAACAGGATAATTAATATTTATGAAATATCCGGACGCACAAATATTACCTTACCGGATATCAATTATTTGCACTTTCCGCGTTGATGTAAAACCTAGCGAAAATAGTTCTAAATAGTACTTATTTTCTTAAGGATTTCTACTAACGACTTCAATGATTCTTCACTGCATGTCGATAAGCCTCATTGTGAATATCTGGCTTTGTAATCTAGAAAAATGATGTTGTTCATCACCTAAAAATGAAGACGTTCGTTGTTCATTTAGTTACCTAATTCCCATTTCATATTTGAATGAAATAATAGTACCTACGAATGGGTATAATTGAATATTGTGCCACTGTTAGACAATGAGGGAAAACATCACGAGAAAACAAGAGCATTATAAAATACACCCGAACAATGTCGTACGAGAACAATAATCGCGTTCGTTGTCTAGTCGGCGCCGTGCTAGCACGCTTTAAGGTGCTCTGTGTGAATAACGACTATTCTACGGCGGTACATGTGCATAAATTATAAAATAAGTAAAAAGTGCTAGAATCTGCAGAACTAATTTCTCAGTACCTAGTTACTTGTTATAAAACTCGGCGGAGCGTTAAGACGAGCAGACGCGACCAGAAATGTTATATAACTGTAGTGGAAACTAACTAACAGGCTAGCCACCTGTGTAAACATCAAAAAAGTCTATGGATATAAAATATCTATTGTCCAACAAATCGCGGCGATGTTCCATAAACTGAGCCCAGAGTCGCGACGAAGATAAATCGTAACTCCAGTATCGGCTAAAATCAGCTTATTTCCTTTAACTTTTTGCCGATGCAGATCTTTATTGCTTCTTGTCCAACCACTGCAATCGGCTCCTTGGAGTTGCATTCTATTCATTACGTTATGCAACCAAATTACAGTATTAAGAAGAAGGTGAAGAAGGGCTCGGGCTCGAAGACATTGCCCTCGAACAGTTCTCCGGTGCGCGGCGGCGGCGATGCCGGGGGCAGGCGCGTGGAGCCGGCGGACGCGCTGGGTACTGCGGTCGTCAAGTACAACTACCAGGCGCAGCAGCCGGACGAGCTCTCCCTTACCAAGGGCACGCGTATCCTCATTCTCGAAAAGAGCAACGACGGCTGGTGGCGGGGACAGTACCAAGCGCATACTGGATGGTATGTATGATCTATTATATGCCTTAGATATACACGTACTGCAAGTTTAGTAGTTTATCTTTCATGCGATAAGAACGATGATTGTCCTAAATTCGGGAATACGGGAACAGGATTTTTTAACATATCTCGGATAAACGCTAGATGGAGACAGTGGGTTCACAAATATATAAATTGATGTATTAGTAAATAAATAATAACGAAAAAAAGTCGTTAATGTTCTATAATAGGCTGTGTAGAAACTACACCAGTTAATACAAACGTAAGATACGATCTAACTTAATATGCAAATGTCATGCAAAAATGGACGACTTCACTATGTTTTTTAATTTTCTCCATAGACATACGAAACAGGAAAAAACAATGTTATTAAATACTAATTAACTATTCAAAATTCCAACCAAACTACTTAGACACTAATTAATTAGCCAGTTGACGTCATTAGTATGTTTATTAAAAAAGCTGTGTAATTAGTAATAATGTGTATTCCCCGCAGGTTTCCATCGAACTACACTAGCGAAGAGGGCGACAATGAGGACCCCGTGCATACGTACGCCATGGCGGAGAATGTGCTCGACATAGTGGTTAGTATCAATTAATACTTGTCTCTTGGAAATAACACTTTTTTTCTATATCATATATTGAAATGAAGTAGCTCTGAAAAAGTGTGGCAGTGGAGAATAACGTGTTTAGCCGTCCCCGCAGGTGGCGCTGTACTCGTTCACGTCGAACAACGAGCAAGAGTTGTCGTTCGAGAAAGGAGACAGGCTGGAGATCATCGAGCGCCCCCCCTCCGACCCCGAGTGGTACCGCGCGCGCGACTCCCGCGGCCATGTCGGCCTCGTGCCGCGCAACTACCTGCAGGAACTCGCGGACTACCTCACCACGCCCTACAGGTGACACATGTCATTATAAATAATCTTTATTCTACACCTAAAACTTAGTGACACGTGTAGGCAGAACAAGAAAGGTACAAAGTCGGCCCTATCTATAGTTCATAGCCATATCTACTAGGCAAGTCTTAGGTGGATGAAGTACTGTAGTTGATGGGAGACTAGGGTACTCTGGTGCCTATCAGTGTGTAAATTAATTTATGTGGAATGAAATGGAATAAAAATTCTTTGTTGTTACTTAGCGAGGGCGGGTCTGGCGGGTCCGGTGGGTCAGGCGGGCGGCCGGGGCCGGGCGCGGCGGCGGGGCGCGCCTGGTACTACGGCGCCATCACGCGCACGCACTGCGACGCGCTACTCAACACGCACGGACACGACGGAGACTTCCTCATACGGGACTCCGAGACCAACGTAAGGATACTTATTTTCTCAAGTTTCATGTCTTTCGACCTACAACAAATGTTACTTTACCGTCGTGGAGCAGTAGATAAGCAAGTAACACGTTGTCCCCCGCAGGTGGGCGACTACTCGGTGTCGCTGAAGGCGCCGGGTCGCAACAAGCACTTCCGCGTGCACGTGGAGGGCGCGCTGTACTGCATCGGGCAGCGCAAGTTCCCGACGCTGGAGCAGCTGGTGGCGCACTACCAGCGCGCGCCCATCTACACGAACAAGGCGGGCGAGAAGCTCTACCTCGTGCGGCCCCTGCCCAAGGCCACGCAGCCCTGCTGAGCCGCTCCCGCACCCTTCCCGTAATACGTTTTTGTACGCCCGTGTCCACTATTTACTCGTTAAAACTAGTTCAGAGCTTCCGTATATGCATTGTCAATTTTGTACGAAATTTTGTATCCAGGCTCCGCACTCCATCGGAACCGACCACCGTTAGCGAGGGTTTCGCACGAAAGTAGTCGATTAATCGAGTCACACAGATTCCGCCACGAGCCACATCACTCAATAGTACAACGTAGCCCCGAGGAATCTGTTCGTGACGAATGTTTTGTACTGCGACGACATGTAACTCGGCGTTGAAGCAACGTTACTTTGTAACTTATTACTACAATAACAAAACCAAAAATTGGCTTCTTTATCTCTATTAGTGTTTAATAACAATTTATATCATATTATTTAGGTAAGTTCTATAGTGTAATTTTATAATGAGTTATAGTTAAACTGTGTTTTACGCATATTATAATCGATTGTGTCGCGTCGCATGTCTGCGCTCCTCGCGGATATATTGAGGGGACGCTTCAGGCCATGTGACCTGTAACTAAATATACACTGATGCATATGTTGTGATGTTTGGCTAAGTAAGATATAATGTAAGTCATGATCAGGGAAAATCGTGGAATGTGTCGGGCTAAGGAGTTATTGTAAGTGAGTGGGAATTTTGTAAGAATTTTATATCGCGCTTAACTTTTACAGGGCTCTGTTGGGGCCGACAGTTTACTCATAGCGTTTCTGTGAATTGAGATACATTATTGTCTCCCAACTATGTATACTGGAGCTCGAGATTGTCCTCGAGCTTTAGCATACGAATTCGTGACAAACTAAACTAATTCTTGTAGAAAATTTCAAGTTTCAAGTCGTGTGACGACCCCGAAAGTATTAAATTAACATTCCTTATTTTATAGTACTGGTACATATTGATCACGAGCCGACTGTCGGCCGCGACGCAGCCCCGCCCGCGCGGCGCCATGAGTATATCGCACGCGCGGTCGCACCAACTGTATAAGTCTGACTAGTGGAATCGCGTAGTCAAATATATCAATCATAACAATATTCCTACGTTATAGTCTTTACGACAACGAATTAGGTAACACTTGGATGGTGCTGCACCAGTTTGAACTTAATCTTTCAAGTACCTGATACTTGACGAAAAATACAAAAAATTAATTGTGCAATAGGATAGAGAATAAAATAATATACATAGGTGACAGTTTCAGGTTTCAGAGGAATAAACTAGCACAATTTGTTTTAAAAGAATAAGTTCAAACTGGTGTGGTGGGTGTGGAATCTCAAAGGGTTGATTTCCACTGAGGTGACAATCGCTAGTCAATATTATACGCCGACATCACAATCAACTCTCACTCTTATGTTACAGTTTTATTTATTTTATAAATCTTGGTGCGCGCAATTTGTTCGGGTGATGTAACTAAGGGCAAAACTATAACATTGTGTGAATTAAACTCCAGTCACATGAATACACATAATATTGTGTGATTAGTGTAAGTATAAAAATTGCAAATAGGAATGTATGAAGTATGGAGAAGAAAATGTGGCAGACGAGACGAGCCTTTATGTGACTCAATGTGTATGAAACTATGGAGGTAGTATGTCGCCCGGCCGTGGGACAGCTGTGCGACTATGCCTACGCGAGATGTTACCAATGAAACAATGAATACTGTCTGCCACGTAAACGCATTGACTTGTAGCAACTGTAGATAATTATGTAATTTGATATTTCTCGGCGATAATTCTATTGTAGGTACGTGACTTGAAATTTGTTATAATTAAGTGGAATTAAGGGTTGTACGTTATGTATTATAAATTATTTAATTGTCATCACCCGTACACGTTGCGTGCACAATTTGCAATTCGATCCACTTGTAAAAATAACAAAGGCAGCTTCATTGTTGTTTTATACAAATTAATAATTGTTTAATAATAATAATATATTAATTTCGTAATGTAGATACCAATATTTAAATTAAAATGCGAATCACATTGAACGATTAATTTTAAGTTGAACCTTGACATTCTGAGTTTTAGCTTCTCTACTGACTGTAGTGATCTGTCCAGTAACGTCGACGACACTCCATACGGAAAGTATTAACTAAATAGCTTTTACACAGGAACATTTATTTTTGTATGGACTTTTTTATTTTACACATTGACAGTTGATGATGCACCAAGTGTAGAGAATTTTGTATGCGAGAACTTAGCGATAAGGTTAGGTTACATGTAACACTCTATGATACGTGATTGAGGGTGTTTTCCTCCTCTGTCTATGGTTTCTTTGCATTTATATTAGTATAATAACGCGTTACAAAAACATACACATTACTAACCTGAGATTAATAATGTAACCAATAATGTTTTATGTAAAATGAGATGCTTAGTTTAAAACGTGAGTGAAATTAATTATTAGTTTTATATTAAAGATACTGGTCTCAGTTGCATTTGCTAAATTAATGTGAATTAATACGGCCATTTCTCTTCATATTCTCCTTGGATAATTTGAATGGAAAACATCCTTGAGACGACGATGTCTCCTGACATTAACGATGCACTATTAATTAATTACATGTATCATTTTGAGATATGACTACTGTCTACACTGTGTGTACAAGGAAGAGTTTAGTTTTACCTATCACATTCTCGGTATTAAATTATGGTTGCTGTTATTGGCTTATGTTACAAAATTTTATTAAATTTTTTAACTTAAAAAAGATGCTTACAAGTTCTCAGCTTGTCGCACAGAACGGCGTGTCGAGAGTCATGTCTCAAAACGAACTGATCGTAAGTTACTAGATCTTTTTGATGTATTTAATACGTTTTATACTCAATAATGTAATTAGAAATAAATGCGAGGCAAAACTCAGTGTAGAGATGTATTATTAAATTAAACATAGCAAAATGTACCGACGGCCGCAAGTTTTGACAGTTAGTTTTTTGTAAAAAATATTGATAGTTGTAAAAAATTTTGGATCGGAGCATTGTAATTAATTCTATACACAATACGCACCTACATGATGGGCAAAAGTAATAACTGGTCTAAATTTCGTGAGGTCAAAATGACTCCTGTAAAGTCTTCCTGGAATGTTGTAACATTTATTGGATGCAAGCACAAAGTAGCGACAAGCACGGGATTAACATTTAAGATGGTCATATTGAATTGTTTCGAAAATTGGTTTCATGGTTAGTATGTTAATTTTATGTCGATTGGCGGGCAAATGATCATAAATGATAAATGAATTGCGAATGGGAAAATTTAGTGCACTAACTCAAACAAGCTTTATAAAATAAACATTGCCAAACTTAGAAAGGAATTAAAGCCGACTTTACATTCCTAAAGCTTTTTATAATAACACTTGCGACGATTAGCTTAAAACTTAAGTATTGGGTACTAAAGTACCGCCCTACCAGTTTCTCAAAAATTGACTAAATACATTACTGTATCTAACGTTTTAATAGTATTTAGGTATAGATTATAGAGTGATTCGGTTTTTTTATTTTTATATTGCTCAAAGTATATTATTTTATATTTGTATTTGCGAACTTGTGTTTGTAAGTTTTTGTGAATGTATATTATCCGATGTAACGAGCCAATGTAAGTGCAGTATGTAATGTTTAACAATAATTTATTTATTAATTTGCAGTCTGTTGTTTTATTTACCCAACATTACAATTCTCATTACAATCGATAAACAGCAAACCGACGTCGTCCTCTGGCTTCGCACGGGCGGAATTACGTTATTTTCAAATTTAAGTGAATTTTAGTTGAGTCTATCCCTACATGTCGACAACCTTGTGAACCTAGTCAAGTTTAAAAAATGACGAATGGCGACATCGATTACATTATCATGTAGGTTTATTGACTACAATAGTCCTGTAAGTGATGATAGACTGATCCCAGTACAATGCGATATGGCTATTTTCTAGTTAGTACGCGTTTGGCTAAGGGTAGCGGTAAGAATACCCTGTCCAAAGCGACTACTATTCGATGCATAGCCCTGTTTAATTTGTGAAGTTTCTTAGCATTTGAAAAGCCTCGACCACCACATTTCCGTGGGATGTACAACCTCGTGACCGACAAACGAGGGTGGTGCATACTGTTTGCAGTCAGTAGAATCCGGACTCGATAGTTAGGGTGTCAACTTCAATTTGAGTCTATTTGGTTTCCTATATCTACCAAAAAAACATCAGGGCCGCGCATGACCCAATTGTTAAGCCTCGCACCTTGTCCTTGTCCGATAATAAATTTTTCAGCGCCTTATTGTGGTGGCCAAAGGAGCGCTCCTGTACCGATTCACGTGCAGTCCATTATCACCTAATGCTTCTGACATACCCAGATAATATCTACTTGTAAGGTATGATTTGCGAAGAGTGATCACAGTGTTTTGAAATCTGGCACTTGTCTTATCCAAACTCTATTATGATAGAACTATTAAAATATCATAACATATTTTTTTTTTAAATAAGTCAGTCAATTTTAAATTAATCAGTTTTGAAAGGTTTTGTTAAAAAAACCATATCAATAACAACATATAATTACGCGGGTATCACCGCGAAAAAATAAAAAAAGATGGTACCTACCTATATTCTGCTATTAGTTATGCATAAGGCATCATGTATTCCGTAGCGAACCTAGTAAACGTCGGCTTGGTTACCAATGTCCATTGAGTATCATAGTTACACAGACTATTGATCATACATTCCATTTAAAAATCAAAACAAGTTGCAGAGCTCGGCTTTTGCTTGATTCTTGTTAATTGACATAATCGTGAAATGTTATCGCGCAGAGATAAACTACTGATCCAACCGTGGGAGGATCGCAGATTCAAAGATCATCGTTCAAAAGTTAGTAACTGATTAAAGTTCGAATTTTCAAATAAGTACCTACTGATAACAGTAACATAATTACCTACTTACCATTTACGTAGCTTTAGTATAATTCAATTATTTTTAGTTTCTAAGTATTACCATATCGTGTGTTGATGGCAGAGGAGAATATATTTGTCCTGTCGATCAAACTGTTCCCGTACGTGTCGTAAACTCATAACTCACGATGATCGGGCAGTCGCCCGATCTCTTGAATATATTTTGAGGAGGGAAAATCATCAAATGGCCAGTCGCCTAGGGTATGGCGAGAGGGAGTGTTTCTTACCGACTAAAAACCCTTCTGTGGACGCCGAATCTGCGGTACCTTATCGCGTTTCACTTGCAACCCTGGCTAAGCATCGACACTGCTCGGCCCCGTCTGTGGAGTGTGTTGGTCTAATGGCTGTTAGAGGCGCGCGTTGTCCGTATGTCTAAACTTAAAAGGCTTTTGAGAACGTAGTAACGTTTTTCATTAAAAACCTTTTACTTTTAACCTACAATTTGCTCATTTATAGAGAAGACCCATAGTCTAGTCCAGCAACACTAACAGGTTGTTGATGATGTTATTACTGTTTATATTTAAGGTAAGATCTGCGTTACCAGCGATTGACGACAGAGCTCCTGCAGCCAGGCCGCACGTGGTACTCAAATTAAAGAAGAGCCAACGTGAACTTGACAGGAAAAATAAGATACAGAGCGAGAACTTCAGCCTTTTACAGCGATTGAACGATATTATGAAAGTTAACAGACTCGACAACCATTGGACAAAACCACTGCCCAAGTACGTGTACTCGCTTGTTTCGAATACGGTAGTTTCCAATTAGTCAAATTCAATACTTTTATCCAAACGTCAAAAAAGATACAAATTTCATTAATCACATACATATATCGAATTTGACTATTAGTTGGAAATTACCGTATTATAATCGATCCACTATAGAGCCAAGATATTTGAACTATAATATATAGGTTAATGTGGAATTTTAGTTTTCAGCAAAAGGTGGGATTGTTTTACGACGCGGAATCGTTGCATAGTAAAGTAACAGCGCGCTCCTTGCCCGAACCATCAGAGGAGAGTTATTCCAACGTCAAGTGCTACGCGTGCGAGATGAGGAAAGTATGTCTAACCGTCAACATCAGTTATGTTTTGGCTTGGATAACAATAAAGGAAATTTTTCATTCGAATAATAATAATTATTATATTTATTTATGTTATTTATTTACAGAAACAGTACGACTACGTGTATAAGCAGATTCATCGAGACTCCTTGCCTTCTATTTATTCAAACTAATATTAATATTGTAATTTGTTTTTACAATAAAACAATTATTATATTGGACAGAATTTATTGGTATATAGATACAATACAAATGGTCTGATTTCAACATAATTTGATACGGGGCGCGGCTGACCCGGTCCCGATTCCAGAAACTGCAATTATTATTGTGTTTTAAGTTAAAATCGAAACATAAATACTATGTTATATCAAAAGCATCAATTAAATCGGTAAGCAGATTACACTAAACGCATACGTCGCGTACGCGGCACTTTAACATTAAAGCTATCCACTTCGTGTCCATCGTCCATAACTCGGTACAATACGAAATCGAAAAACAAAGATGAAAACTCATACATCACAATAGAACTGTATCACAAGGAAGCCGCAGCACCGACGTCACGAGTGAGGGTGCGCGACCTCACCTACTGTACAACGAACCGCGAGGCAGGGCCCGCGGTCGGGGCCCCAGTGACAAGGGTCGCGCCCGGGGAGACGGCCGCGGCCAGAGTGGCAGGGGCCGCGGCCGGACTGCTGCGGCCGCCACTAGAAGCGGAAGCCCTCGTGCGGGCCGGCGGCCGCCGCGTCGAAGTGGAAACCTGATTCCGCCGCCGCCGGGACCAACGTCGCGTCTTCCTCCTGCAACAAAATTCGGTTTACACCACACTCCTCTAATCTAGGAAATTATTACATTGCTGTACGAACTGGATTTATTTACGCACCTCTCCGGTGAAGTATTGTTCAATGATATCGTAGGCCATTTTGTAGATTTCCACTTTCTCGTGGCTTTGCAGAGCCTCAATCTTGTCGATGCCACCGCATTCTTCAATCATGTTAGCAACTTGGTCAGCGTTCTCTCCCGCCATCTTCAGCATGTTGCTTAAACCATCTAGCACAACCTGGTGGATACAAACAAAAAGTAATTGTAGTAAGAAATAAAACGAGTTGCAAGTCAAGTACACTTGTCCAATAGGAAAGTACATACAAAAACGCTCATTTCAATAAAGGATACGAGGGTATCGCGGTACAACTCATATCGTGTTTGAAATTGTTTTGAAGTTTTGAAAAATGCTCACATTCTCATCTGTGATTAGAAATACAAAGTACCATAACATTGTATAGTTACATTACCAACTCAGTTGCGAGAAGCAATAATTGTATCTTACTGATTTTAACTCTCTTAATACATAATGCCGATTAAATAATACTTTTTAGGCTCAATTATGACACTCCCTGTTTATTTTGTTAGTTAAATGATAATTTTGTTTTTTATACCTTATTTTAATTTGTAATATTTAATTCAATTAGGTTTTCCATAATTATTTTTTCCCCAATTTTGTTTTTGCCTTTGATTATAATGATTTATCAAAATTTTTGGTTTATATTTGACCCAAGGAGTTTTATTCTTTGGTATGTATCAAATATCCTGTACTTTAAAGTAGCTTTCATACATTTAATCAATATAGTTCTATCTCTAAGAGATTGACACCCCTCATGATTCAACTAAATTCAATGTACCCCCATTTGTTAGTGTAATTTCTATCATGAAACAAATAAATAAACAACAAATAATACTTACATTAATAACTTGAGTATCATTGCAACTGAGCAATTTACAGAATGGTGGTATAACTCCACATTTGATGAGGGCAGCAACCTGTTCCTTAGTCCCGCTGATACTAAGGTTGGAGACTGCCCAGGCTGCCTCTTTCTGTGTCTGGAACTCTCCCTTAGTGAGGTTCTCAACAATCTTGGGCAGTAGGCCCGCGTCTATAACTGCTTGCACTTGTTGCTTATTGCCTGCTGTGATGTTTGATAAGAACCATACGGCCTCTTTACAGATCTTCTCTTTCTGTAGTAAGATTTATTATTATGAAATTACATGTATAAAAAAATAAATTAATATTATTGGTGTGAAAGAGATCAGGGTACCGTTAAAGAAATTATGGGACAAACAAAATTAATTCCCAAGTCTAGTTATTGTAATTCACAACTTGTATAATCTGAAGGTTAATCATAATTTGTGTATTATCATTATTATAATGTTTGTTTGCTCAACAAGTCAATGTACTCTAACATCAAATATTTAAATTTCATGTCAACACATTTTATTCAAACATTTTATATATTTCGCGTCAGTACAATAATAGACATTAATTGCCATCTTGGCTGCTTACCAGACGCGCGAAACTAGTTATTTACATGGGAGTATATGATAACGAAAATATCTTTTCAACCAGAAAATAATTTTCATGGTTTAATAGTCATTAAGTACATTATGTTGAGGTTGATTGATAGATTTTTTTTCCATTTTTACAGATTCACATTTAATTTTCATCCAATAAAGTCAGTCTAAAGTAAATAAATGTATCCTAATTACCTGGTGGGATAGTAAGGCAGGGAAGTGTGACAGTGCATCACAGTTCAGGACTACTTGTGTCTGTTCATCCGTGCCAGTCACAATGTTGCCCACTGCTCTCAAAGCTGCCGTCTGGACTTTTACCTCTTTGTGTGACAGTAGTGGGATTAGCTTGGGTACTATACCCGATTCAATCACCATTTGGATCTGGTCATTGCCACCATCTGTTAAATAGCTGATTGCCCAAACTGTGTCTACTAAAATCTAGAACAGAACAAATTAACATGTTATTCACTTGTAAAAACACAAATTAATGGTTAACCACATATTGTGTCAGATGGTATTAATAGTATCTAGTTGTCTAGCTCTTGTAGTTCCAATTTCATGAAGGTACTCAGTTATAAACTAAGATTATTTTCTTGTTATTGTGAAACTATTGAGGCAAACATAAGTCAAATCTAAGTATGTGATATGGTGCATCATAACAATGGTTTATAATTGTTGTTGTAATCATCAAAATAACTATATTATGATGTCAGGTAATACAACAAAGCATAGAATTAATACAGAATTTATCAATTTGGGTGCCACAGATTATTATTGAGAGATAAATTTATTTTATCATTATTGTGGTCAGAGATAAAACCATTGGAATCAACAAAATATTCAAGTTAAATTGGCTTTATTACAAATTAAATGGTTATTTAGGACAACTCATAATGGCTGCCACTGACAAAAGACTTCATGATAGATCAATTAAGTAATTGATTCACATACTGTATTTAGTTATATTAACTCTTATTATGCTTAAAGTTAATAATTCAGAAATTAAATTAATATTCTAGATATTGATAAAACATTTACAGAAGCTTGACCCAACAACTCAGTTCATCACTCAGTGGCAATGAACTAGGTCAAAAATACCATGCAGTAGTCATGGTCTAGATGGTATTTTCTTGGTTTTTGCAGTTCAATGACCTGTGTCTTAGTTGGATAAAAAGATATAATAGTATGTACTTACATTGTTGTCATTGTGAGTAATAAGAAAGTTAAGAGCTGGCAGAATTTCTTGAATAGTTTTGACAGGTGGTGGTGGGTCCTTACTCCTGCATAGGTTGACAATGACCCAAGTCACATTACGGAGAAATGAAATTTGGATATCAGGTTTGATGAAACTCAACAGTGGCTTAACTACTCCCATTTCAATGACAAAATCTCGGAGCACGGGACCATCTCCAATGATGTTACCAAGAGCCCAGACAGCTTGTTCACAAACATTCTCGTGGGGAGACATGAGCAACTGAAGGAAGACAGGAACAGCACCAGCATGGACAACTTTGTTAGTCTGGGCGGAGGTGCCTGATGCGATATTCGTTAAGGCCCAAGCGGTTTCGAATTGAAGTGAGGGATTGTCAGCCCTTGAAAGGCACTGCACAAGGATAGGGAGAATGCCAGTAGCAATCAGCTCATCAATGGGTGGGTTCTTGTCTGAGGAGAGTAGCTTCCTGCACTGCTGTACAGCGGCTAGCTGCACGTCAGGGTTGTCTCCGTTCGCCGCATTCATTACCAGCTCCTTGAGGTCGGTAGATGCGAGGGTCCTATCAATCTCATCCTCGTCTGTAGAGTAGCTGATAGGCACATTACGACGTTTCTGTAGTGTTTCTTCTCTTTTATTTTTTCTCAGTTCTACTGTAACTTCGTTCCTCCGCCTGCGCATTTCCTAAAATCACATACAAAATCAAACGTCATTTCTTTGTAGAACTTTTACAGTTTTTGATATGATCTTAGGAGCCATTGAACTATATTTTTATACTTACGTCGACATCTTTGCCAGTGTTCTTGAAAACATGCATGCGGTTCTTCACTTGATCAGTCGCCATTTTATTTTTGTGCTCGCAGTATCGTTACAAACGTGGTAATTACACAATGAAACAAAGAATCAACATAAAATAATGTCGAAGAAAACTAATCAAACATGTTTTAACGGCACTATTCGAGTTGCTGATTCATTAACCTCTTTATAACACAGAATATTCTACAACACGAAACTAATCGTCCGTTTCCTCCTCGAATTTCTTTCTTTTTTTCGGTTGGACTGACCAAAGAGGAACTGAGAACTATCTATAGACAATATCGTAGACTGAATGTTGCAAACGTCAAACTTGAGCGTATTTCTAACTAGTATTAAATCGACTAACTAAAATAATGTGTTGCCATTACCTAAAACTGGTTAGTTTTCTTTGTTGGTAATAATTTTGCGAGTTATTGATGAATTTTCTTTCCTACGCACTTCCGCATTTGTCGCAGTCAAAACAGGAGTGTTACTGTTTGTTATTAAAATATACATTTAAAAACGTTAATTTGTATTGGAATATTAAAACTTACAAAATGACTGTGTTGACCAAGCCGAGTCTGACTATTAAGAAAATCCCGTTAATAGACGAAAGCCATTGCGATGGGGTATGTATTATAAAAAATATATTTAAAATCAGAAAATCTTAAATACAATGTTTTTACAGTTTAAAACATTTAGCCGGAATATACAGAAGCCAAATTAAATATATTTATACAAGTAGAAAAAATAATGTTGGTGTGTGGTAAATTTTAATTTATAGTATTTATGTATACGCTGCAGATAATGCGCGTACCTACCGCCGTGTATAGAAAAATGAATTAGTTGCTAACGGGCCGATTCGTATGGCTTTGATGCATGCATGTATCGATTTGTGGTGTACTATGTTAGGTTTTCTGGCTAAAAATATCACGATCAATATTATGAACATGCAAGTACCGCAACCTTACCAAGTGTTTTTACTCTTCTGTGTGTTTGTGTTCTCACACATTTAATGGGTTTTACATTAATTAAAATGAATTATTCCCTATCACACAAATAATTTAATCAGATACATTTCTAAATTATGAAAGTAGATAATATTACGGTATTATTTTCAGAATAACTATATATCTATATGTAGTATACTCGGATTACGGCATCACATAATAAATAACATTATATTTTATACGAGTACTAGCTACTCTCGCGCGGTTTCACCCGCTGCTCGGCTCCATTTAATCTAATAGTAGCCGCCGTATCCAGCTAATCGTAGCGTGATCTTTTATTAGCTTATAGCACTCAGGAACATTGTAGCTAATGTAGCTATCTATCAGTGAAAGAATTTTGGATATACGACCAGCGGTTCCAAAGATTACCCCCTACATACAAACTTACACATTTAACCTTTTTATAATATTAGTATAGATTTACTAGTTTCTTTTGAATTCATAAATTAGCAAACAAATATAGAATGGCCAACTTGGTGGATTTAAACCACATACTTAGGTTTTTTTATAGAAATCATCAATTGCCTTCGTAAATCGCAAATCGCCCTGTGAGGCGAGAAGGAATGTTATAAATGATTTTTTAACCATATTTTTGACGTTGCCCCTCTTTAGGAATTTTCTGTGTCGTGGATGTAGTTACACACATACAATTTGACATACACATAACACTAAGATTTATTTATTTATTTTTATTTATTTATTTAACCTTTATGCACAACGTACATAGGTGGGCTTAATGCCAACAAGCATTCTTGCTAGCCAACCTTTGGGTGATGCAGTAAGAATATGGTCGGTGCAAAAAAGTACAAGAGCTAACTTAAAAAAAGGTAATTAATTAAAATGCATAATACAATGAATATAATATAATAATATAAATACAAACATAATAATATGCATGAATACACATATAATACATAAGTAATACATAATACATATAAAATACATAAGTAAAATAATATATATTATATAACCATATACTACATACATAAGTATAGGATATTCACATAAAGTAGGATAGTTTATAATAAAGAAGATTTTGCCAACTTTCCCTCCAAGATACACTTGCGAACTCCAGCTTTGAAAGACTGCTTGCTCTTTGCTTTCCTGATTTCCAAGGGCAGGCCATTCCATAAAAGGATAGATTGGATGTGAAATGATGAGTGAACAGTGTCAGAGCTATGAGAAGGACAGTGAAGAAGAAGATTGTTAGAAGAACGAAGATTTCTAGAATGTCCCAAGTATCGGTACTGAAAATAAGGTGTTAGGTACAAAGGAGGAGTAGGAGAGTTAAGGATAGAGTAAAGGGTTGTTAATACGCGAAGATCTCTTCTCTGTCGGATGGACATCCACTTCAACTCAGACCTGTGCCCAGAAACATGATCGTACTTACGCAAGTTGAAGACAAATCTTATGCAGTTGTTCATAAGACGATCAAGCTTATTAAGCAAGTCCGAATTGAGATCGCAATAGCACACGTCACCATAGTCGATTATGGGGAAAATTAGGGACTGCACAAGCATTGCCTTGGTCCTGGATGGAAGGAAATTTCGCAATCGATTTAAATGACGCAAGGTGTTAGTAACACGTTGGCAAACGCTGGAGACCTGTGACTGCCAGCCTAGCGTAGCATCAAGGTGCAGACCAAGGTTCTTGATACTGGGACTGATGGTAATAACAGTGCCGTCCATTATTATTGGGGGAAGATGTGCGACCACCACCCTACTCATCATACGTGGACCACCAACAACAATGGCCTGGCATTTTGTGGGATTTACTGCCACACCAAACTGGTTAGACCAACGGCTTACAGCTTCCAGATCTTTATTAAGTTTTTCGATTGCCGAGGACAAGTCCTCGGGTCGAGCTTGAGTGTAAATCTGAAGGTCATCAGCATAAAGATGATACGTACACTGAAGATTGTGAGTAATAAGGTTAATAAAGATAGAAAATAGTAGGGGAGAGAGAATACCGCCTTGAGGTACACCAGCTGCAAGCTCACGCCAATTCGACAGAGTGTCATCATTGCGAACAGCCTGCTGGCGCCCACGAAGATAAGACTGGAACCATTCCAGTGTCCCAGGCGAAATCATAAGATGGGAAAGGATGGATTCAAGGATGTCATGACTGACGGCATTGAAAGCATTGGAGAAGTCTATAAGGACCATGGCAGTAACTTTGGTATCCCGAATTCCCTCTCTAATGTCGCCAGTCACTTTTAAAAGTGCTGTAGCAGTGCTGTGCCCAGGCCTAAACCCAGATTGCAGGGGACTTATGAGGTTATAGCGGTGAATGAAACCAGATAGTTGCTTATGGGCACAAGCTTCCAGCACTTTGGAGAGGAAAGGAAGAATTGAGATTGGTCGAAAGTGTGAAGGGAGAGAAGGATTAGTAATCTTAGGAAGGGGGCGGACGTAAGCGTAACGCCATAAGGAAGGGAACTGTCCTGAGTATAACGAAAAGTTTATGATGTGGGTAATCGATGATGATGATGATGGTAAGATCCGTAACAACAGTTTGTGGATCCCACAAAGAGTTGTTTCCTGCGGGAATCGAACCCGCGTGATGTTACAGTGTTTATCGGGAAACATCATCCATTTTTTTGACTATTGACTTTTAAATCCATTTGGATGATCTTCAAACTTTCAAGAAACGAGCGTACTCCTTCTTTATAGGCCGGCAGCCCGCCTGTGACATCTTTGGTGTGGCAGGTGTCCACCCTGAGTCTCAGGGCGGCGCACATCTCTTAACATCAGGTGATCCGTAGGCTAGTTTGCCTCGTATTCCTCGTATAAAAAAATCTCTGCTCGATCTAAGGATCTGAGAAATAAAAGCTTGAAAAAAATGTTGATGTGCGCCGCCCGTGGTGGCCCTCCGGGACGAATGTGACCAATTCGTGCCGAAGCATGGCTCTCCCAAAAAATATGTTTCTTTTTGTAATATGATCTTTCTTAATTCTTTACGCGTAAGTACGTTTCTTTATAAGTTTAGATTTTTTGTCTAATTTCTCAGGAAATCATCGAGATGCAACCGACAGGGCCTCGCAAGCGTCATCATAGTTTAGGAGCTATCTTTTGTATGGCTGTCACTGTGTTTCTCCTCGTTCTTATGGGGGTCATCACAGCGCTCCAGATTTACGAGCAAGTTACTTCTGATGTGTCCCAGCACAACCGTATCCAGGGATTCTGCTCCATTCCTCTGAACGGGGTACGTATTTTATATTTCATTTCCACACGCAGAAGTAAAATATTTATTGCTGAAATATTATAACTGAAGAACATCTAGAAACTAGGTCACAGAGCCGACCCTGCGCGGTGCGCCATACGTGACTATTTGCGAGTTATTGAATGAAGAGACCCCTTCCATCTTAATAGGATAAGTTGAATGAGTTAGGTCCTGATTTAGCAGGACGGTTAATACTCCGTATAGGCGTTTATCAAATAGCTGTTTCTTTTTTGATCGTGTGGAAACGATTTTGAATTAACAGTTCTGAAAAATATTGGTAACGGCGTAAAAACTAGTGAATATGGTAGTATGAAATCAGAATTTGAGGTCGTGAGTGACACCGAGTGTTATCTATCAAACCGAACATAGTCAGGTCAAAAATGAATGTAGAATATCAAATGCCTTACGAGTGTACATATATAAACATTGGTATTGTACATAGCTCAGCAGGATAAACAATGCACCATGACATTATTATGATTGGATGTTCCCTGTGTACTCGGAACGTATTGATTACATTGCAATTAGTGTGTCCTTGCAATCGTAAAGGCCGGTGTAACATAATAACATTACATCAAACGCCGCTTGTCTGGGTACTATTGACCCGCCCGCGCCCACTTGACTCCGACCACTAATAGAGACCCTGCACCTCAATTAGACGACATATAGAAGTTTGTTATGTTTTTGTTTGTCAAACATTCTTGAGTTCCTCATATTTTAGGCTTTCTTGACATTTTATGTAAATCTACTTATACAGACACTGTCTATTCGAATTCACACAAATAATAATATAAGAAACTGATATTTGTAACCCTTTCACATAAAACGTTTAAATTACTGAACAGATTTGAACGGTACTGTAAATGAAACCGCTGGCTGAAACTAGTTTTATTTATTTAGAAGTAATTCATCATACGTTAAGCGCATCTATTTTTATTCTATTATGTCGCGAATTACCACTTTTGAAATGTTAATGCACACATGAGCGAAGGTACATAAGGCAGACTTAATGTCATATGGCATTCCCTACCAATGAACATTAGGGTTTCGTGGAAAATCGATTGAATTACTTTTTCATAATTATGTAGTTATAGAATATTACAAACTGCTACAAAGTGTTGTTACTGTAGCTGTACCAACATTTTGCCGTGCAATTCGATCGCCTTTACTGGTTTCAATTTCCATATGTCATTGTATGTATGTATGTATGTACAATTACTTGTAAACGGTTCTCTTTCTTTTTCAGGACATGGAAATGTTAGAGTCCCACAGGATGCCGCTCCAGTGGAAGGCTGCGAATGTTGGGACAACTATCCAAGTCAGTACCTGCCTATTTTTGTTACAGATAAACAGACCACCAGATGATAAGCAGTGGCTGGCTATGACTAAACGTACATTTATATACATTTTTCCCTGTATAAATAAGGAAAATTATTTTAATTTATTTACTGGAACGTTCTTATTAATACAGTAATTATTCAAATCGTATAAACTAGTGCTTGACCGACCTAATGGTAAGCATTTATGCAATCGTTGATGGTAAGGCGCATTAGTTTATTACGTCCTTCGATGATAAATAACTTCAGGAATTAAAAGCTTAAATCCCTTTTTTGTCAGTTCATTAGTCTCAGCAATGAATTTATATAAAGTTATAAGTATAAAATGTAATAATAATCTTATAAGACCGCCTAGAAAGATATTCAAAAGGCAGGACGTGATCGGCAACGTTACTAAAGTTACAATTGAATTATAAAAAAAACTTAAATCACTTTTTAAGTTTATTCTTATCTACGAAAATGTAGGTACGTCTTTACTTTACTGATCACCTGGTGTTGTTTGGATGCCATCTTCCGAGACTTGTGTCTTGTAGATCAAATTGTGATTCAGAGACCATCATGGCATTAGGATGAATTATGAAAAAGTTACCTAGATACCTGATACTACTTGCCTAGTAGTTGTACTTGATATTCGTCCTATACCACCAGACCCAGTTATGTAAAAGATTGAAATGATTGTATGAATCTAGATAGTTCTGCTTAGTAATGTTTTAGGGAGGTTTTTTACAGTGCTAGTGTTACTAATGTGAAAAATAAAGTTGTTTGTTGCCTTTTAGTAAAAGTATGAGTATTAAATCTAACTACGATGACTTTTCCTGATGAATAACTATAATAATAAAATGCGAATAAAACTGAACCAGGTGGTGAGCGTAACAGAGGATGATGACCCGGACCATCTGATGGATCTACTGCGGGAGGTGTTTGACATCGACATCGACCAGTCCGTCGAGAAGATATCTGTCTTCAACAACGGTCACCCCGTTAGCTTTCTGCATGACTTCGAAGCTAATGTTACTGGTACATACTTATTTATGTTAATTTACAAGGAGAGGATATCTTAAAAGAGTATTGAAATATGTTTATTTTGCATGTGGAAAGGATCTTTTTTAAAATATTAATGTATTATTTTACGAATTTCTATAAGAATAAAAAATGATTATTTATATAAAATAAATGGCAGACGTAAATTAAATAATATCGTTTCCATTGTAATTTTAAAGTAACTAAACGTTTTACTCGCTATCAGCAAGAAGATATTTAAAAAAAATTGTTATTAGACACCATTAGGTATACTAAGATGGTGGCTTGGGTGCTGCTCGTGAATTGTGCTGGCCAAACTATTATCTAATGAATGTTAATACACCTAACTTCATTAAGGGCCGATTTTTCAATAGTCAGGAGGAATAAAATTGTTGCAGTCATAATGAATGTAAATACACCTAACTTCATTAAGAGCCGATTTTTCAATAATCAGGAGGAATAAAATTGTTGCAGTCACTGTCTTATACAAACATTCTGACGCGACAGCATCATAATTATTCCCTAGATAACTTTTATCTGACCATTGAAACAGTCCTCAATGAACACTATCATTGAGTAGATGAGTTAGTGCGTTTCCCGTGCAGGTATCGTGGACTCGGAGCGCTGCTTCATGATGTCGCTGGACCCGGTGGGCGTGGTGGCCCCGGGCGAGCTGGCGGCGGGGCTGGCGGCGGGCGCGGCCTTCGACGTGCGGCGCGTGCGCACCCCGCTGCGCGCGCTGCTGCCGCCGCGCCCCGCGCCGCGCGCCCTCGCACACCTCTGCACCGACCGCCCCATCTACCCGCTCACCAGGGACGTCGCTGTCGTCAGTCAGTAACTCTCTTCACGTACCATGCCGCTAACCTTGTTTCTAAAATGTCTTTAAGCATAATACAACATAAGAATATTTAGTTCAATAGCTTTTGTTTGGTTCGAAAACAGTCGCGTCGTAATACGCAGGAACTACGATTAAATTTTTGAAGGTTTTGAAATTAAAAGAACATCAAGAAAAAGAGGACCGCAAATGAATCCTTGTGGCAAACCTTAAGGTGCAGAATTCCAATGGGCTTTGTATCTAACCCGGGAGTACAACCGCTTGTGTCATATTCCTAATATAGGAGGAAAACGGTAGGAGTGTACTTTTAAACAATCTATATGGTTGAAACACTTGCTGTAGTCAGAATAGACTACGACAACTTATCGCTATTCTGTACCACGTGTGGTAAATTCTTGGAACAGAAGTAAGATAGTTTCGGTTGACTGGTTCCCAAGGAACACATACTATTCGTCGCCAAGAACCGTACCTTCCGAAAGCGAACGCTTTACAAATGATGTAAATAGGCCCAATGATACTATCAGCATCGTTAACGATAAATAAGGGAGGTACCTATTAGTTCACTCCCTCTTGATTTAGTTAGTTCTAATGGCTTCAATAATTTCTGTACACACACGAGGCCGGTTAATATTAACAGTGCAAATCGACATTGGAGTTTGCTCGGTGTCATTCGCTAGTAGTATTTCCAGCATTTGTCGATTCAAAGTTGAGTTCTACTAACAAATGCTTGTCAATTTGATTACAGTACGCAAACGATCAGCTGATGCCCCACCCCACGATTACATGCACTTTGCCGGTAATGGAGTACAGGAGATAGAGATCAGTAACCTCGCCGAGCTACTGCAGTACGAGCAGGACAACAAGCGCACCGACTAAGGGGGGAAAAGGGGGGTGTAGTCCACACACATTGCACTGGGCACAGCTCGTGGAGTGACAGCTTCAGAGACACAAGTGATGTCTCTACAGCTGTCGACTGTCACCTGTCACTTCTCATCAAATCACAACATCCATTAAGTCTAGAGAAATCCTCGTGAGGACTGGGGATGTCGAAATACAATCCTTACAAATACAAATTTCATTGTTTAGTCCAAATTTAGTTTTAAGTTATTCTCCCATTTGAATGCTTTCGTAATTTTATTCGAAAAGGTAAAACAGTAATAAAATTACTTACAGTGTTCCTACTTTAATAACTTATGTGATATTGTATGAATTTCCCTTCCAAAAGAGAATCTAGATATTTGAAAAGTATTGCGCACATTGAATGAATTCGGGCTGTGTAAAAAGGAAAAAATATAGACCAAATGTTAGTTTTTGCCTTCGAGATACTGTCATTTTGTTTCCACTAGTCAATAACTGCCATTTATTCATTGTTTTCATCCATTGTAGGTATAATTTGTATTTCGAAGGGTGAAAATAATTCATATTGTTAACACCAGGATGCAAAAGGAAGGGAAAATGAATTTCATTTAAAAAAAAAAACATAAGTGATATTTGACTTAAAAAGAGTCCTTAGTAACTTCGACACCTCTATTTAGTCGATTGCAATGAGTATTCATTATATTATCATAGTTTTAGTTGATTTAGTTAAACATTTTGATGCTGTTCAAGAATATTATAATGTGTAAGATGATAGATATAGGAATAATATTAAATAAGGATACAAATATATATGTAGGGCACGTCGTATCTTGCGTTAAGCACAGATTAAATATACCTACATACATTTTACCTGATGATCTCGCTCGTTAGGTTCCATTAAAAATACGTTTAAAAAACAATGTTATTATTTTATTAAGGTCGAAAATGTCATGCGTTCGAGTACCTATGAAATGTTGTATAATTTATAGTTTTAAGTTTATTCCGCTTGTATACTTCTAGGTGATTTATGACAAAATAAAACGGTTGAAAATGATGCATCGTCATTATTTTGATTCTGTACTATTGCCAGGTTTTGCCTCACCTCCTTTTAATACGACGGCAAGCGAGCTCACTTGTCGACCTCCTTAAGTCTTCAATGTCAAGGAGTTACGACAGCGCTGTCAGCCTTTGGAGATAAGAGGAATTTAGGTATTGTGGAGGGATGGGGGAGGCGAGGTTTGGGACTCCAACCAACTTAACTTACTAGGCGAAATAACGCGGTCGTTGTAACATGTTGTTTTTCTGATAGGCTCTGGTGTGATCTATGTGTCTGTCTGGTGCTGTAGTCACTCTAGTCGAGCCGGCCCATCAGTGGCGAAGCATGGGTTATCCTAATATTTAATAATTTGTTTTATAACCAAAAACAAATTACTAAATTCACAAAATATTTAAATTCTTAAAAACTTACTACTTTACAACAACTTAAATAAAAGCGGTTAAAAATTAAAAGAAATATCAAATTTTGTTTTCTTATAAGCATAAACTGCCTGTCTACAGTCATTCAGATATATGACATGTATGTATGACTGATAAGTGAGAATAAGAGCCTTTTTCGCTTCTGGGTACTTTTGTTTAACCCTTAGGAAATTAAAGACGTTTTGAAAATTGATATTTTAAAGGTAGAATAGGTGTGGCTGCTATGTTATAAAATTAAAAAAGACTGTAATGCGAGTTGCATAGGTGGTAATGAAGAATTAATGTTAGACATTTAAACAATTTAGGTTTTATTGACGTTGGTCCTTTTGCACCATACCAGCACGCGTAAGCTAAAGTTCGAAGACAGGTTACATTTTAGTTCCTCGCACACAAAATAGATGGCACTTAACATATTAAAATTTATATATTTTCATACAATACATGTGCAATTAACTCGACCGAGCGACGCCATAGAGTCTATTATTAGCTTTCTGCGCTTTTAAAATTCAGACATATTATAAAGATTATAATCATATTTAAAATTTATTTGCAATATTGCCTTCGTTAAGTTTTTTATAATGGTAAACATGGTCGTGTTTTCTTGAACGTATGTGATGGGGTACGTCACAAATTAGGTAGTAGTTTTTATGGTATACCTAACACGGCACATGGAGCAGACGGATCGCCTGATGGTAATGGTATCACCCATGGACAAGCACAACACCTCAGGAGCTGCGAGCCTTTTCTATAAGGAAGATTGTATATAACAACTACTTAAATAAAATACGTGATTGGATTAGAATGCCAAAATCGATAATTTATTATGGATTTAGTATGAAGTTGATTTTTTTTAATCGTAGGTACCTAACTATTGTAACACATACTTTATTGAAAATAACGATTCACTAACGTGATTTAGGTACCTAACTCTATTTATAAGCAGCGTGCGCGTCGCGGCCAGTAATACAATACAGTCACTCTCACTACAAAACGCATGTGCACGTTTGATAAAAACATTATTTGTTTGCGTCAGAATAGCATATGTATGTATTCCAAAAAATAGATAGCCGTGGTATTCCTCTTTTCGAGACGGCTCGTTCGTGATTCGCATGGCTCTCCTATATACCTACTTTTATATAGATTTTTCAACAATAACAAGTTTTCAAAAATAGTCATTAGTTTTATGAATCAATTTAATCAAAAGTACTTTATTGTACACATTATTACAAATGCAACGGACAACAGGTTTAGATACATTTCACTAAATGTAAAGTGTACAAAATATCACGCAGGGGGATTCCTTCCCGACAACCTCTGGATGAAAATTTAATAGAAACCTAGGAATGGGCAGTCTCGTTGCAGTCAGAGACACTTTTTTTCCGAGGGAAAGTCTTCATTATGACTTGGGTGGGGCGAGAGGGAGTGTCAGACGCTCATTTACGAAAGACCATCCCGTTCCTTCTCCTTCAGGTCGTGGCTGCGGTGCAGTATGCGCTTGCACCTTGCACTCCGGCTGAATATAGTCGACAGAGTATATTCTTGCATGATGTGGCCTCCTGTAACTGCAGAAGCACATTGTTTTTATATTATCTTTGCTACTTTCGTGAATGCTTTGTGTATTTCTTGTTGGAGACCCTTACTAAATAAATAAATAAATATTAGCAGTGTTGGGTCCCATGTGGGGTTGTCTGATAGCTCTTAGTACCTAATTAAACTTTATAATATGTCAGTCTTTTGAAGAAAAAGCATAGGGCTTTTTTGTGATGGGAAAATCATCAAATGACTTCTCCTGTCTAGGGTCAGGACTGAAGAAGAAGAAGACTTACTGATTAAAATTCCTTCGCCTACTCTAGGCCGAGGTCGCGGCCTCATTGCAATTACCCCGCAACCCCGGTTAAACATCAGACCTAAGGGCCCTGTCTGTGGTGGTCTATTAGTTGTTTGAAACGCGCGCGGAACGCAACGCGCCGTCCGCTCGGGTCTGGTTCTGGTCAGGCGGCGAGCTCCCATTATGCGCAGTCCGCGTTGGCGGAGATCGTCGCTTGATCTCCAGCGCCCGGCCTGTTTCCTACTGCGGCGGTTGCGGTGTAAGGAGGAGGATAGCTTCCTCACGCGCTCCGCCTCATTTTTTACGGGCATAACTGCTTCGCAGAGTAGATAGCTTCCCAGTTCCTCTCGCTCTGCACCACGACCTCGACCACCATGGCTCGCTTCCCTGAGTAAGCATGGGGCTTGACTTAGCATTATGCCATGAAAACCCAACCATTATCTCGAATATACAGTTCCGAGAAGAGAAATACTTTGTAGTAATAAAGTATTGTATATTTAAAAAAGTTGACTACTCAGAAACTACCCTATTTAACAAAATATAACGTATTTACTTTATTTCAGTATATAATTATCCGGACAAAGCACAAAGTTAAATTACGGTTTGATACTGCCATTGATTCCTACTAACTCGTGAGTGAGTGATCAAGAATCATGTACTGAATGTGTGTATTTTATTGTGATTTAAAACGTAACATTTTGTGTTTCGCGATGAATGCGGTGAATTAATGGAGCTGCCATGAAGAAGTGCCTTGTCAAGCATGTAAATTATATATTCTTATGACTTTGAAGCCTGAAGTTATTTTATTGGAAGGTTCTTGTGTGCACATCGAATAACAAATACAAATTGTCAGAACTTCAGTAAGATGTTGCCATATTTCCGTCTTAACATAAATCAGTATAGTAAATAGCAATACAATAAAGTCTCCGAACAATTGCAGCGGAGCATATATAAATATGTCAACAAAAGATTTACAAGCCATGTATTCCGTAATAAACTAGAACGAATTCCTATACAGAGTGGCGCCATTGTGCCGGGACAAAACTCTCAGAATGTAGGTAGGACGCGAGCTTTCTTCCATACTTCCATTTTTGAATTTTATAGGAACGCGAGCGCCCCGCGCGCCCGCTCGCCGCGCACCGCGCGCCTCCATTCACGTGCATGCGCACGCCACTATTGTGCGCGACGTGAATGCCCATCCTTTGATGTCTCCACGAATTTCCCGATGTACAGTTTTTGTGCAAATTCTTTTGATCAATACACAACAACGTCGCTATGTTTCACTCGACTGGCTGCTGTACACCGCAGCCGTTACATTCCTACCATTGTTAACACAAGAATACGCGTTCTTAGTCAGTAAAAACAGTAGTGGGGTAATGATTTGTTAAGCTGTGATTGTTTCGATATCAAATATTGTGTTCCGCTTGGAGTATCAGCCGCGGACGGCACCGGGCAGAGAGCTGCCGCGGGCTCGCATTAAGATATGCAAATGTTATTAGGAGACTACGCGCGCATTATCTTTTAACTGGCGCGGAGATACGGCGATGTTTCCCCGCTTATAAACAGCCATTGTATCGGAGATCCTTCCAGATAATGCGATCATTAATGTTCACCTGCAGGCTCTGCTGGCTAATAAGTCTAATAACCACGTTATCTTGGATGGTTGCAGAGTACTGTTGGTGACGACGACACTGATGTTACATCATCAATCGATGCGGTATGATGCCTAAGCACCGTGTGGAGACTCGAGATGATGCAGTGGACTATTTTGATATGATTAGATATGTGAACAAATTATATACTAATTAACATTAACCTAGGTATCCATTACCAAACTTGTCACAAGTTGGTTATTTATATATGGAATAATATTACCCACAATAAAAAAAAGTACGTGGCGATTATTATAACATTATCGTGGATAGCTTGACGTCGTTGTTGCAAAGTTTTAGTTAAGTTATCGTCGTATAACTAGTGCAGCTGACCTAATTTATAGTTGGAACCTTCTTTGTCAAAGGGCAACCCAATCGAATTTAAGTTATGCAAATCCCGGAGTGGTCAGTCCCTTGCCCTTTTGACTAGTGGACAGAATCCTTGAAGTAAATTATGCAGCTTTCGATAGAGAACAGTTTGAGGATAATTAGTTTCTCGGGAGTTGTTTTTTGTGTTAATTTAGAATAGAATTCAAATATTTATTATTCACCAGAGGTTCCAATTAATAATTATTACCTTTTGATTATTTTATTTACCACGAGTAACGTATCCGTACTCGTTGCTACAAATCTGAGATCTATATACGGTTTGTAGAGGCTAAGGACATGCTACGCAGTCAGCTACGGCGTAGCTTGTTCGATGCTACGAAGTTACGATTGTAAGAATCAAAAAGTCTCTAAAAGTTTTCTCGGGAACGATGACAGTCCAATAGTAATTAAAAAACTTTTGGTGATCTAATATCCGTAATAAGCTGTAGACAAATATGTTTTCTTTGATAAAAAATCACACAATCTTGCTAAATAAAATAGGTACTAGTTATGAGGAAAAACTATTCATGAAATCTTCGTTTGGCGAGCTAGCTTATTACATACACAGAGCGAGGGCGCGAATTCCGCGGTATATAATATGCAAACGGCTCGGTTTCGGTGGCGCGCCGGCACAACGGGCCGGAAGCGATAAACACAGGCACAATACGCACCGGACGGCCGCGGATCCGAGATATACGGACCGGACGGAGAG